TGCCATCATGGTGAGTATATACATGGTGATACAGCTTTGCCACTAAATGGGCGAGGAGGTCGCGGGGGGGGGGGGGGGGAGCGAGGGAATGCGGTTTTAGAGCAAATTGTAAACAAACTCGGTCGCTGTCCCATACAAAAACCCAACAAAGCTGAATAATGAATTTGACACATTAGAACACCTATATGTAGTCACCTTGGTTGCCACCGGAATCGAAACTTAGTAACAGCAAGTTAAACGAAAACTCAATCGTAAAAGTTTTGTGATAAGGGGAAATGGATGTAATCTCGGCCTAAATGCCCCTAATTTGGGCCCATACATAAATTCAGCAATCGGCTAAATTTTCAAATGCGACCAAAAATATCCATTAGTACAGTCCCAATGACGCGTTCATCTAGATAAAATTGATAAATAGCTGATTTTTAGCGATGGGCCCAACATTAGAGCCATTTCCCTTATAAAGAGCGCTCCTGGAGTAAAGTTTAGTACAGACTTGCAATTACTCATTACAGCTAAAATGCTAATTTTTGGAATTATGAAACTATGAGATACTATAATGATTTGTAAGAAGCAAGAATGGGTGGTAAAGTTTGTGTATGACACACACAATTTATCAATTTTGCTTTCAGAAGGTCACAACTAGGTATTTTATGATCTCTGATTGCTCGCTCATCGCGTTGCTCATCGTTACAGCTAATCGCTATTATGACCCTCTGAAAGATAAATTAACATGTTTTATGTATCATACAAATACATTACCTTCACTTCTTGCATCTTGTCAATAAGAATTACCATTAAAATCTTTCATAGCTTCATAAATCCGAAAATAAGCATTTTAGCTGTAATGAGCATTTGCAAGCTTGAGTGTAGATAACATTAATCAGTTGCAGGGATGTTACAAGATTTTCAAAATTTGATCCGCGACATCCGTGATTTCTCAGAAGAAGTTTTTCAAGAGTAGTATGGAGGAAATTATAAGAGAATTCAATTTCAAGATCCTGGACACAGAAAAAGAAATGAAAAAATTAAAATTCTGGAACTTAGATTTTTTTTATTACATGTTTAGAAAATTGTATGATCCTGGTTTCAGAGAAATGTTCAAGGATCAGGGTGTTTTATTTAAAATTGAATATTCCGGACATAGAGGGAGGATTAGAGAGAGGACTAGAGTTCGTGAGAAGTTTTCAAGTTCCAAAACAAGAACCAATATTTGAAATTCCAAGCTTTGAAAGGTTGCGAAATTGAAATTAATCAAATGACTGATACTTCATTCTTCTAATTTCGGGACTTTGGCACTTGGAAAAGTTTCTAGATCATGTACTTGGAGTTGAAACTTTAAGGCTTTGATATTTAATGAGATCTTATGGTATTGATTGTAAAGCTGTCATGTTACCAAAAATAACATAACAATAACAGGCATAACATTAGATAACGGCACAAAAGCATTTGTAAACAAACTTTCTAGGGCCCTTTACACGCGAACCAAAGTACGCTTTGGACGTTATCATACTTGCAGACCGGTTTAAATGTGTGAGTTTAAATTAGAAGAACATTTGTGATGTATGGGTGCCCAAAGTGTGCATTTCTCGCTGTGCACTTGGATATCTGATTGCACACAAAGAGAGTAATGGAGAAAGAGAGCGCAAAAGCCCGCTCTCGCTCTCTTGTCAGTTGTGAATCTCTCAATTACCGATAGTTGCGCCGGAGCGCCTGTCAAAACTTATGAGCTTCCCCTGGTTCATTCTGATAGTGTTGTTCTTATGAATAAAGAGTTGATTAATTCAAGTTTGGTACCCAAGGGACTATGAATTTTTTCTAGATTTTGGCATTTTTTTGTATCAAAAAATGTTTTCGGAAGTGTTTGACGGATATTCTTTATTACACTTCAGCCGAAAGAGTTAGCTTTTTGATAAAAACGAGAATTCAAGCTGAACATTGCATTAGGTCTTAAGTAACATTGACAGACAGGGTTGCTTCCACTCACTTGCTATAAAAAATGATTTTCTGAATTTTTAAATCATTCGATGTTATAATGATATTTTGGATTTGTTAGATACAAGAAGCGGATGAAAGGCAAGTGTTTGACTCATAAAACCTGTCAATTTCGCTACCAGAGTGTTACAATAAGCGATTTTATGATTCGTGAATTTGACAGGTTTCATGTGTCAAACACTTGCCTTTCTTTTAGAGATGAACTAGCCTAAGGCTAAAAATCTCTTTAATAAAGAATTTTAAAAAAAAAAACTTGCCTTTCAACCTCTTCTTGTATCTAACAAGTACAAAATATGATTATAACATCTAATGATTTCAAAATTCAGAAAATCATGTTTTTATAGCAAGTGAGTGGAAGCAAGCCTGTTGACAGATTCTCTCCGTCGACTTTCTCTTTGTATCTCCACGGCCATGTAAATACATTCCCAAGTATTTTCAGCACACAGATCGATAAAAGAAGCTTTTATCTAGCATCTAAAACGACAAACACAACAAGAAATGGTTATGTGCTCAAGTTATTAACGAAATAGAAAGTTGAAGAAGAGAATCGATCAATATTACCTAGAACCTAATGCAATGTTCAGCTGGAATTAGTTAAGTTTTGCAATTCCTCCTACTTCGGTTAGCGCGAAAAGGGCCATACAAGTTTTGCTTATACAAGATGATAGGTTCTTCAAATGTTACGTTAGGTAGTGATTAATATAGTGATGGAGAATATGTCCCTCAAATTCATGGAGCATTGAAAAATAAAACAAAAACTAACATGTGTTGGTAAACTATATCGAACAAAGCTTGGTGCACAGGCAAACAAATGAGGCACACGACGCCTCTGAAAATGAGTAGACACCCTGCATAAGAAGAAGATGACAAAGGCATAAGATGCCCCGATAATTTCAAATAATATTGGTAGATAAACAACAGAGATACATCATCAATAACGACGGCAAGATTTGAGATTCGCAAAATCCACACCTGTTGAAACAGCACTGCAGTTGTTTTATTTAAATAATGCTGTAAAGTTAAGTGTCATAAATATTAGAAAAAAAACGTTTTTAAATATGTCAACAGGCAAATAAAAGTTTGAACACATTTTTATGTGGGTAGACGAGGGTTACACGCGATCTTTAGCCATACATACGAAGTACTTTGTGGTTATAGCCAAATGTACTCCTAATAGCTACGTTACATTTACATATTGTAAGATATTTTAACCAAATTTATGTTTTGACCCAATGTCATCCTTCATAAGGTTTGGAATATGTTTTATTTAATTTTGTAAAATGAGATCAAGTTCAATCAACCATTTCTAACAGCCGTGCTTAAAATTGTTGTCCTTACGTAAATGTGAATGTTGTTAGGTAGGACACATTTTATTTTCGGCAAGTAAAATTTAAAGCAGTTACGTATATTGAGTACTTTTTAAATATTTCTGGGAACTTACATTTTCAATGACAAAACCCAAATCCCGTGGCCCATTTCCAAACTTTCAATTAGCCCTAATACTCTATGCTCGAGAAAATTTCCAACCCAAAAGAATTCATCGACCAGACCAGGAATCGAATCCACCGCCTCCAGCTTGGCAATACCGTGCGTTTACTGACTAGGCAGTCTGAGGGGCTTGAGGTATTTGAACAAGTGTTCTCCCCTAAATTGTTTGAAATCGAAAATCCAATTACAATACAATTCTTTATTGACACTTCAATAGAGTATAACATATTTTGTAACCACTAGCTTTAACCGTCTACGTATCGCTATTCAAAGCTCACACACGCAAACTAATAACACCAACTGGTAGGAGAATGTTTCCTCTTCCAGTTTATAATTGATATTGTTTGTTTGCTTTTATTCTTGAGAAATCCGTGGTTTAAGCCATTGTTTGCAGTTTCACCCTATTCAGGATTAAATTGCATAGGGTGCGGCACCATTTCGGCAATCCTCCGTTTAAAACAGTCTTCCGACAGTCCCGTACATTTTTTTTACAGCATTTGTCGTTTAAATCGTGAGCAAAGAATGTTATGCATGAATTTTGGGTGTAGTTGTTTGTCTTCATTGTTTTTTATGCGTATGACGAAATGGTCCCCATATGCCAAAGTAGTGCTCCACACGATTGGTATCCAATCATTATCTGCAAATGTCATAAAATTTAAAATGCAGGCCCCTAATTTACAAAAAGATATATCAAATCACATTGGTAAAATTCTCCACCCTCTTCTACGCACACAAAACAATCAACTCGACAACAAGCATCGCGTGACATCATCAATCCTAACCACAAGAACCTGACCCGAAACCGAAACAGCGTGAAAAACGAGAATCCGTCTGTTCCAGGGTCTATTCATCGCACACGCTCAGCCTGTGACACGGTTTTCCACCTCAAACGAAGTGATTTTGTATCAGCTATTCAACTACTATCCGAAAATAAACCACCTACATAGAATATACATCACAGCACATGCTTTCCCTCTTGGTGGACTTCGCCATGCCGGCGAAATCCATTGCCGGTCAGAGTCAAAGTTGTTGCATGTTCTACATCTATTATCTATTACTCCAATATCAACAAAACCCCACACTCCAAGTCCTAGAGCTACTACGATCAGCTGGAAGTGGTTGGAAGTTGTTATATTCCGGTATCCATGGGTTACCACGAGTCGCCTACTGCAAGTATGGGTGAGTCAGCAACCACCCTTCGCGAGTAGTGTAGTGATTTCTCTCTACCGCCAGGACACGTTGGGGAACATGAACTAGGAATTTACGCATTCGGAGTCACGAAGCGAAACCTAGTACACCGTTGTCGACGAATGTTTACGGGCGGTAAATAGTTTTCTTCATCAAGAAGTAAGGTTCAGTCAAATTTTCTTCAGTCTCATCTGATTTTTTTTGGTAATGGAGTGAAAACTGCTTTATTATGAACGAAAATAAATCAAACGGATGGAATTTGTGTGCAATAAAGTTTTAAGGGGGTAAGAAAAGTAATACAAGTGTGATTGCGTAGAAAAGATTCATCGAAAATGGGTCACTCGGAAGTGAAAAATTGCTCAAGGAATCATCGTACAAAAATCTCCTGCAAATGGGCATGGAACTGCATGTCGATACGGATACACACAAATTTGTTCCTGCTACTTATTGGAATCGCTTCCGTTTCGGTTCTGAATCACACCGAGGCCGGATTTGCCTGCCTCAGCAATCCATGCATATACGGAGTATGCATCGACGATTTGAATACGTAAGTGTCCAGGGGAAAATTCCCCAAAACGAAGGGGGCCGCCATTGTGATTTTTTTTTTGTGAAAGGTTATTGGCTTCAGTTACATTCGGCTTAATATCAATTATCGTTATTAAAGTCTCATCAGTGAAAATGGGTCTGACAAGTGACAGACTAATTGCATCTACTCAACTAAAGTACATGGATTTCGATATTTCTAATACCAAGCACTCAAAAACAGTTGACTGTATAATCGATATTGATAGTTCGTAAAACTAGCTAGCTAATAACATAATTTACGTCCGAGTTCGGTGGCGCGTAAGGACTCGTGTGTCATGGCGCTTCACGTACTGCTGCATACCTTGCAGGCGCTTCTTCATTTCGGTTCATACGAGTGTTGGTTCTGATCGTAAAACACACAAACTTTCGTTCCGCGCTGCTCCCTTGGTTCCCATTCAGGAAATGTAGCCTCCTTCCCTATCCTATCTATGAGTGTAGTCACAAAATTCTCACCTGTGTGTGCAAGGATATAAATTATTTACAAACAAGGTAGCACGTAGCATAATTCGCGTGTTTGTAAGGAATTCCACCAAACCGTTCGCGATGATCCAATGAAGGGAAAAATGTAGCAAATTAACAGTTTTTCACTAAACTTTGTCTTCGTTGTTTTCTGTTCCCGTTTTATCCATTCAGTACATACTCATGTTACTGTATAGACGGGTACACCGGAATACACTGCCAAACGAACTGGGACGAATGCTGGTCGAATCCTTGTCGTAATGGGGGTACCTGTATCGATGGAATCGCAACGTACAACTGCACGTGCCTTGACGGTTTCATAGGTAAGTGAATTTGAAACTCGATTGGTAAAATTCAATACGTTCCTATTTTGGACCATCAACAAGCTCAGATGAAAGTAGGCAGGCATGGAAAATCATTTGCATTCATTTCATACATTCATTTGCCTCTAACTTTTTTCTTCAACAGCATTCCGCAAAATGGTGTACGGAGATTTTGTAGGTTTTGTTATCAACTACAACTTTTGCTAACAAGTCAAATCCGTATCTCTTATGCATGACGAACCAGAGCGAACAGAAGCCACTACTGTTTTTCAGTGAATGTATTTTACATTCACTGAAAAACAGTAACAAGTTCTGCCCGCTCTAGTTTGTGATGCATAAGATATACGGATTTGAGTTATGAGCAAAAGTTGTAGTTAATAACAAAACCTACAAAAGCTCTATACATCATTTTGCAGAATGCTGTTGATGAAAAAAGTTAGAGGCAAATAAATGTAAATCAATGTATGAAATTAATGCAAATGATTTTTTATTGCGAGCAACAGATGGCGTTAGTGTTCTCAGGGGAAGTATTAGACTTTAGGCTTACAACACTCTGTCCAAAATAGAAACACATTGAGGGTTTCGCCAAATCTCCTGAATGAGTAACTCACACTTTACGTTTTCAGGTCTCAATTGCGAAGAAAACTTCAATGAATGTCTCTCGAACCCATGCCAAAACGGAGGTAGTTGCTATGATCAAGACAATGCGTTCATCTGTAGCTGCGCTGCCGGTTTCGTCGGGGTATTCTGCGAGGAGGACGTCGCGGTGTGCGAAACGGGTGATCGCTGTCATAACGGTGGCGAATGCATAGAAGGACATGGCCTGGATTTCTCCTGTCAATGTGTAGAAGGTTACGAAGGGAAGTTTTGCGATGAGGAAACCAACGAATGCGAGTCATCGCCCTGCCAGAATGGAGGCGTTTGTATTGATAAATTCGCAAGCTATACATGTGCATGTACAATGGGATTCACTGGAACTAACTGTGAAGAGGAGATCATGTTTTGCGAAAGCTCGCCGTGTTCCAATCAGGCATTATGTTTGGTGGAAGAGAATGAACCCACATGCTACTGTGTGCCAGATTTTCATGGTGAACGTTGTGAATTTCAGTACAACGAGTGTCTGCTAGGACCTTTTCCCAAGTGTGTTAACGGAGGAACCTGTATAGATGGAATAGATGAATATTCCTGTTCCTGTCCACCGAGCTTTACTGGTACCAACTGCGAATGCTTAGTATTGGATGATTCCGAAGTGGATTGTAACTACACAGCTCCCGAGATGACGACTGTAGAGTATGTCACGACAACTGCTTGGTTTGAACCTAGCTTCAGCACTAGGTATGCTTTCAGTGGAGATCCTGATTCAAGTATGTCGTCGCAAGCTTGGAGTTCAAGTAGTGCAGATGGTTCAACGGTTCCATCTCTGTTTCTGAATACATCAGTAACCACATACCACCCCGGTATGACGAATGTTACATACACTTTACCAAGTGAAGCATCATTTTCTACAGGACCTATAACCATAGATACGACAATTCTTGAAGCTGCTGACAGACGAAGTACAGAGCCAACCAGTAGCACAGCTATAGACAATGAGGCTACACCTAAGGAGTTTTCTCCAAGTCCAGAGCAGCGATCTACTTTAGATGAGGAAATAGGAACAGATGCCACTACGACTTCTAAACCGGAAGAGGGAGTAACATATGAACAGGTCACCTTAACAACTTTAGCCGTCGATGATCAAAGAACAACTCAGCTACCAGACGAAGGTGATTTGATATCTACAATCATTAGGGATTTCTCAACTATTCAAGTTGATGATGCAGTTGTTATCACCACCAAGCCAAAGTATTCCACTCCTGACGGTGCATCTACTGAGTCGTTAGAATCCACCGTCATGGATGATAGAACAACAGAAGGTGGTATACCAACTGACGTTACAGTGAGGCCAATTCAGGAACCGAGACCTACATCCCCTTCGGAAATCGATGTAGAAACCTCAACGCCAGCTCGATCAACTGAAGTTCCAATCGTGGACGTTACGTTAACTCCGTTCTTCACCGAATCTCCGGGAAATGTTTCCTTATCCTCGCCACCGGAAGAACAAGCTACCAAACATACCTCTTCGTCAACACCTTCGTACGATACTTCTTCCTACATTCCATCTAGCTCTGTCGAAACAACGTCTTCCATTACTACTCCCACAATATCTACTAGACCCACCGATGTAATCATTACCGAGTGTGATGATAAGGTATGTGCCAATGGTGGCACCTGTTCGATGACCCCCAGCGGTATCAAGTGCCACTGCGATTTTCGCTACATCGGAACGTTCTGCGACATTCCGGTCAGCATTCAGAATGCTGCCTTTTCCAGAGACTCCTTCTTGAGACATATCATCTATCGGCGAAATGAAACCGAGTTCCAGAATGTTACCATCGCACAAATGCTGTCGATGAGTGTGCGATTCACAGCAAAGTTAACATCCAGGGAAGGATTGATCATGCTTGCGGCTGCCGAGGGAACAGAAGGTAGTCACTATGTGGCCCTGTTTTTGCACAAGGGATTGCTGCAGTTCCAGTTCTCCTGTGGACTTCAGACAATGTTGTTGAGTGAGATTGAAGGACCCGTCAACAATGGTTATGAGCTGCATATCAAAGTGGAGTGAGTTATCGAGGATGTCGGTAGTTATATGAACTGATTATGACTGTATTCTAGATTGAACTTCAACGATCGCCATACGCATTGCAATGCATCACTGCATATGAATGAAACATTAGCCATGAGTGGTGAACAACCAACATGGCTGATGAATTTGGATCCATATGATGAATACACCACTACAACTAATCCTATCAAACATAGTTGGTTACATCTAGGTGGTCGGCCAATCAAGACAATGTATACATTGAGCCATAACATTTCCCGCTATCAAGGATTCACCGGGTGTATTTACGAGTTGGCAGTCAACCGAAACCCGATTGCAATTTTCGAGTAAGATTGTACACTTCAAAACATCGTGCTTTCCTTAACCAATCAATATTTTCAGGAGCGCTGAAGATGCCTACAAAATCTACGAATGTACTTCGCTGGCATGTTTGTCCAGTCCGTGCAGAAACGGAGCCATCTGTATCGAAGAGGACAGTTTCAATTTGGAAAAGCGTTACAAACCGAATAATCAAGCGAACTGGAGCTGTAAATGTGCTTTTGGATACATGGGCAAGACTTGTGAGCGGTCGATTTGTGATAACAATCCATGCAAATATGGCGGAACTTGCGTTACCTTTCCAGAAAGTGGGTATCTATGTCTATGCCCGTATGGCAAGCATGGGCATCTCTGCGAACATGATTTGGACATTCTGCAACCATCGTTCTTCGGAAGCATTAAAGGACTATCATCGTATGTGGCTTATCCTGTCTCATTTTCCCTGGAAGATCGATTTGAGTTTAGTTTCAAAATCATACCAACGACCATTTCGCAAATTTCTCTCCTCGCTTTTGTTGGACAACTGGATGAGTACGCTGACAAGAGTGATCACTTTTCAGTGAGTTTCATTCAAGGTATGTTGTCTAGTCTACTCTTCAAAGAAATTCTCTCAACGCGTCACCTCTACTTTCAGGATTCATTCTCGTCACGTGGAATCTGGGAAGTGGTCCACGCAGAATTTTCACTCAGCAACCTGTTCACGTGCAACCTGCGCGGCCTACTACCATCAACGTAGGCAGAAATGGCCGACTAGCTTGGCTATCGATCGACGGAAAAGTCAATATATCCGGAAACTCTCCGGGTAGCAGTAGCAAACTGAATGTATCTCCACACTTGTACATCGGAGGTCATGAGCAGGCCAACTTCTCTAATCTACCGCATGATCTACCGCTACATTCCGGATTCCAGGGTTGCCTGTTCGACATTAACATCGTTGCCGGACCGGTTCACATCCCCCTTCAACACATCGGAGGAATGCGTGGACGTAGCGTCGGTCAATGTGGAACTAAGGAATGCCATCGCCATGCTTGTCAGAACAATGGAGCTTGCCTACAGCATGGTTCCACGTTCACCTGTATCTGCCAGGAGGATTGGAATGGATTGTTGTGCTCGCAGAAGAATAATCCATGCGATGAGAGCAATAAATGCGCAGTCGAATCAAGTTGCTTCCCTTTGATCTCCGGCTACGAATGTGATTGTCCATTTGGAAAGATTGGTAAACGCTGTGAGGCCAATCTCAAATATCTCAGTGATGTGTCTTTTTCTGGACGAAGATCTTACCTAGCACTCAAATGGCCGGCGGTCGGTAGTGACTACTCTTACCTAGAGAACGAAGTTCGATATGAGAAGATTGTTCAACCGTCTAGTTTAATGGCCCAGAACCATTCAATTTTGTTGAAGTCCATCAGAGAACTGGACAAAATCAATGATGTCCTGAAGGTCAACCATAACGATACTGCAAACAACCTGCAGTACGCACATACGCTAACTACTCGGTCGGAGAACTATCGTCAGCTGAAGATTCGTTATCTCTCCATTGAGCTGCAGGTTCGACCCCTCTCCGAAAAAGGATTGCTCATGTTCGTCAGAACGTTCGATTCTAACGAACAAAAACAAGGCTTCATCAGCCTTAGCCTTCAAGGAGGCGTGATCGAATATCGCGTATCATCTGCCCAGATGCAGACTTCTATCGTTCGAAGTAACCACGTCCTTGCGATTGGCGAATGGCATAACATCAAAATCATCAAGTACGGAAAACGGCTCACCCTGTGGGTTGAAGGTAAGAGCACTTCAATGCTGGGATCTGTTCGTGAAGAATTCATCAATCCAAACACAAGAGTATACTTCGGCGGTCTACCAGACTTGTCACAGTTGCCGTTCGATGCGATATCTGGGTTTCCGATTCCGTTTAGAGGCTGCATCAGAAATGTCAATCTCAACGGTACCCGAGTTACCTTAAACGAAAGCAGTATTTTGGAGGCGAGGAATGCTAATGACTGTGACGGTACACCTTGCGGAGGTGACCTTTGTACAAAGGGCGGCCTCTGCTGGTTGGATGAATACTCCCAGCCACATTGCAAATGTCCAGAATACTCCAAGGGAGCGAATTGTGAGATCCAGGAATCTTGTGAGATAGTGAAGTGCAGAAATAATGGACAGTGTATGAAGAATGGTCGCTGCAGTTGTGCGATAGGATGGACCGGATACTACTGTGAAATAGCAACGACCAAATTTTCTGCCTTGGGATTCAACGATAGGAGCTACATTCTAATACCTTCTCAAAAGATTAAGATGAAAGACAAGCGAAACGGTGAATCGAACAGTTTCAGTCCTCGATTGGAACTGCAGATTTCATTCAATATTTCCACCCTCGACGACGGAGTCGTGTTTTGGACAACCGATAAAAATTCTAGATATTTTGGCGTAGGTGTACAAAATGGATTTATCACTGCGGCGAGCAATATGGTGCAGGAAGCGGAGAATTTAACCACTATTTCAAACCCATGGGAAGCTTACGTTGCTGATGGGGACTGGCACAATATTAGGATCGAGACTGAAAACGGAATCGTACAGGTACTGGTGGACGGGCATCCGCTGTTTTCGGAACTCAGAGTAATTTCGGATGTTAAAAATACTGAGGCTGACCAAAGATATACCTCCGATGAAGCTACGTATCTAGGTGCAATCTGGTGATTTATAGGTGAATGAATTTAGATTGATACAATTCACGTATTTTTCAGGAGGTTTCCCCGATGAAGATATTCAGAATAGAACGTTCGGTAGATTCGGAAGCCCTTTCAACGGTTGCATTCAAAACATCTATCTGGGGAACAACATCGATGAGCTGGATTATATGGCGTACCAGGGAGCAAATATCAACGAATGCGAACTTTAAGGTTGTTTACGCATCGATTCATCAAACTACGAAGACACTTTCCCTTTACCTAACAGTTGAGCATTACATATCCATATATATATATAGTTTTTCAGGTAGCAAAATAATTATGTCATGTAACTAGTTTCGCACAAGTACATATAGGAGAGCGAAGAAGAGATCGTCGTTAAAATCGTCTAGAAGAAAATCAATGAAAAGATTGAGTCGCATTTCAAACTATTTCGTCGGAGTATTAATCAATTTGGCAAGTAAGGTATCGTCAAACTAGTGTACTGCTGAAGTGTTGATTGTAAATTTCGTAAATAAATCTGGATAGAATGTCGAAAATTGTGTTTTACTGGAAGACAAAAAATATCTAGCTTAGGTCATGAGGTTAAAATCTGAGATCACATAAATAGGGTAACTCGTTTTTAGCTACTACTTTACTTCGCGCAACGATTTTGACCTAGAAATTGCACGAACAAAACGAATTTGAACCTTTTATTTATGACGTGTGAAAGTTCCAAGTCTTAAACTGGAACATCCACTGACTTATGTCGTTTTCGTTTTTGCTACACTACACCGGTGTAGTGTAAGCAGCAATAGGCGCGAGTCATTGACAGCTTATCATCATTTGTTTGTAAACAAAGGTGCAACCGATAAGGCTTTTTACGAGACGTTTCGAGTCAGCTGTTTTTTTTTCTGATTACCTATTTTGACGTTTACCAGCGGGCCGATTTGTTGACATACTACGACCAAAATCAAAACAAAAACATCAGACGTAAACAATAACAATGCCTCGAGCGCGTTCGAGTGGCCCGCCAGGAACTGTCATCAAGACGTCACATAAAATAGCTTATAGCTACACCCTGAATTCGGCCCCGGTGTAGCTACACCGCAAAAACGAAAACGACATAATAGCGAATTGCGAAATCGAACTTTTTTCAAGTCGAACCACAACCTGAGCTAGGCTTTAAACACAAACGAGCAAACTGACGTTTGTCAGAAAACAAGCAGACCCACTCTTGATACCCGATCTAGGTTGGAACTGAATAATAAACGAATTCGTAGTAACTAAAGATTTCACTCACCGATAATATCCTCGAAAAAAAAATCACAAGAAAAAATACACTCCAAAAATCTCCGTTAATCAACACCCAACTCTGGAGTAGTTGAAAGTTCGACCCTGATTTGATGTTCCGTGCCGGTGGCACACAGTGCAACTGGAACGGTACTTTGCGTATCCGCAGCCGAAGGATGATGATACCGAACGGTATATTCCGTAAATTTTATCAATGAAAAACTAGCAAATCCGTCATGCGCGGTAACTACGATCGGTTCTGTAAACAACAACAAAGTGCACGCGTCGCACCTGCAAGCAAAAACGAAGACGAACGAATGACAATCACAGACCCGAGCAGAAATTAATGCTTGAAATATTTCAACACAGAATTCATGCTAAAAGAAGCCCCATGGAATTTAGATTCAGAAAATCTACGTTAAATAATAACCTACAGGCACATTATTTAAATAAAATCCGGATTCACCTGTTTATTTTGTATTATAAAAATAAGGCGAACAAAAGGGTAAAACAGAAGATTGATTTCGGAAACATTTCAAATTCAACCTGCAAATGCAGCACTAACACAACCCTAGTTTCATTCCTATTCTTCCAAACAGTAATCATTCTACACGAAACAAACTGAACAGACTGATAGCGGTATCCGCGTCGCAACATCAAACGAATCCGTCTGCGTATTTGTGGTGGGTGCAAAGAAGCCGAAACGGCAATCCTCTGCTTATTCCAGTTACGGTCGCAACGCTAAATGCACGAAACAGGCTCACAAAGGAAAGCCGCTGCAAAGTGTTAGGAGCTTTTTCCACTGAAAATCTGTTAAATTTATTGAAGAATCAGTGCAAAAGTGTCGCAAAGTGAGACTGGCCGACGGAATTTGCCATGTCCGGGACGATTCTGGAGAATCTCAGTGGCAGGAAGCTGAGTATTCTTGTTTCCTGTCTGCTGTTTCTGCAATTTCTATGCTTCCTGTTGGGTGGTCTCGTTGGTAAGGCAATGTGATTCATCTCAAATTGAATAAATATTCATTAGGCTAAACGAATGAAATTAATGAGATTTTATTAACGTAATGGCATAGTTTTAGTCAGTAAATAAAATTCAGCATCAAAGTGGAAAAATAATATTTCGACATTGAGCAGACGTCGAAAAATGGCGTCTCGGCGCTTTGCCTTTGTTTACTTTATTGCTATATTTATGTGCATTTTGGTGTGGGTGTATGTCTACTTGTTGGATACCGGGTTGCATTTGCCATGCCAGACGGCCTGGAACTAAATTCTGTTTTGTATCAAGTGTAGATAATTATGTTTATAGAATTTCAATAATTATTAGCTCCAAATTGAATAAGATTGTTCATTAAAATGACGACTAATGACCGTCTATTTTCAAATTTCAGCCCCAGTACCGGCTAATGTTCAAACAGTTCTAGGAACAATCTGCAAGGATGTACCCGGTTCCCATAATGATACCTCGATTTGGTTGTACTCACGTGGAGAGGAGCACTGCCAAAGCTTGGATCATCTGGACATTGAGAACCACGACCTGAAAATGGCTAACCAAATTGTTTTCGTGTTCCAAATGCCCCTGCCGAGGGAGGGTCGTCAGCTGGACTATTCACGTTGGCAGCAGAATTTGATCGGCGTGCTGCAGACGGACATCGCCTACGATAAGAATATTCTCCTGAAACCACACTCCAAGATGACCATCGATGCCCGTTTAGCCTACCGAAACAAAGGCGACCCGGATCAGGATTGGAAATATCTGGCTTCTTCCATTGAGAAGCGTGACCTGGACTGTGCAGCCGACAACGTAACAGACGAGTATCTATACAATTGCAATGCAATTCCATTGTTCGAACTGGGCTCTCTGCATCATGACTACTACCTGCTGAATGTTCGACTGCCGGTCGATAGTGACTTGAAAATGAATCTTGAAATTGGTCACATACAAGATGTACATCTTTCGGTTATCTATCAAAACGGTGGATTTACAAAGGTCTGGGTATCTCTGAAGACTGTCTTCCTTCCATTCATAGTCATCATAATGGCCTGGTTCTGGCAGCGCGTTCATTTGCTTCAACGCAAACCAGCCCTACTGGAGTACATGCTTCTTGCGCTTGGAAGTGCTCTCACATTCCTGAATCTTCCACTGGAGTACCTTACGCTGGTATTTGATATGCCCTTCATGTTACTGCTGAGCGACATTCGACAGGGAATATTCTACGCTTGCCTGTTATCATTTTGGCTTGTGTTTGCTGGGGAGCACATGCTTATACAAGAAACTGGCGAGAAATCTTCTCTCAAAACATACTGGAAACATCTCAGCGCTGTGGCGGTTGGCTGTGTATCGTTGTTTCTGTTCGACATATGCGAACGTGGAGTACAGCTAAAGAACCCATTCTACTCGATTTGGGTATCGAAGATCGGCTCCACCTTTGCTGTAAGCTACGAACCACAACTCTTGCTTTGAATAGAGAATCATATCCTTTTTCCGTTACAGCTCGGATTCATAATTCTGGCCGGAATCTCAGCGGGACTCTATTTCCTCTTCCTGTGCTATATGGTCTGGAAAGTATTCTGCAACATCAACATCAAACGGACATCACTGCCATCGATGTCATCCGCGCGTCGGTTGCACTACGAAGGAATAATCTATCGCTTCCAGTTTCTGATGTTGGCCACCCTGCTGTGTGCAGCTCTCACTGTGATTGGTTTTGTCATCGGTCAAGTTTCCGAAGGTCGCTGGAAGTGGGACGAGAATATCGATCTTGAGTTCACTTCGGCCTTCTTCACCGGTGTCTATGGAATGTGGAACATCTACATCTTTGCCCTTATCGTCCTGTATGCTCCGAGTCACAAGAAGTGGCCGGCAAATGAAACAACCGGTGAGTCCGATTTTCAAAAACGTATCGCTTTCACTTAAAATCTATCCAACTAATCCAACAATTCCAGAAAACATCATCAGCGAAGAGATCGAATTCAGCAATCTACCCTCCGATTCCAATCCCAGTGAGATTTCCTCCCTGACGCAGTTTGCCCGCAAAGCTGCATTCGACTAAGCGATAGTCGCCACTCGTTCTAATTGGTCAGTATTCTCGTATATTGTCATAATTTATCAATACTTACAACATACGATAAGAATATGTGCATAGGAATCTCTAATCTCTAGAAACACGCATCTCACTGCTTTCTGGGTGAAACGTTTCAACTTATGCTGACATGATTCTCTGAATCGTGATTTATAACTATAGATATTAGACGTAAGTTTGCGCGTAGGCGTTCTTTTCGGTGATTGAAGTCATTTGATGGTAGCTATCGGGAGAAAAATAGGCGAAAACTACGAAATCCCATTGTGCGAACAATTCAGTATTAAAGATTCGTGTCATAGTCATAGCTAACTTAACGCTCATATTTCGGTAGAGTAGAAGAATATGTTTTTTTTTTAAATGATAGAACCATAAACTAGAAATAGGTACCACAAACTCACAAACTACTTGTATAACCGTTTGAATAAAATGTCTTCTTCCAAATATTGCTCCCTGAAATGGTAATCGAAGTAAGGCAATTCAGAAAGAAACTCCATTGAATGAACATTATTTTTCAGCACTAAAGTTTATCTACATCGTAGCGAGGGTTTGCGCCGCCCTTGGCAAATTGTGAAAAGGATATCCCTTTCAGAATTGATTTATTCATGCTCCGGACATATTCCATGTACCCCAGAGGAAATGACCAGTTTCTGAGTTGGACCAAAACCCGTCATGCGGCATCTCAAATCACATAAGAATTCAAGTCCGCATCGTGCTCTCTTGCCGTGTGGATCTATTTGCTTTTTGCTGAAGGAGGTGTTACTGTTAACAAAGCTACAACAGTGCTAAATATTGCATGTAAAATTTCTACCTTGTTTGACTCTTATTCCTCTTCGATCCTTGTTTGGTTTGGACCCTTCCCGAGGTTATCCTGCTTGGATATCGATTTGAAAAATTGCTCTTCGAACCTTCGGATTCTTATAGTAATCTGCTTGGAAATCGATTTGGTGAAACTTTGTTCTGCCGCCATGTTGCCTAGACGCAGAAGAAAAGGGCAATCTCTTGATCCCCCTTCTGATGAAATTTATTTGAACAATCAATTTGATATGCTGACGGATGATGAGAATAATCCATCATCCAGAAAAAATCGAATAAACTTTTCCGGCTTAATGCCAATAAGGAAAAGATTCCCCCTATTGTGATAACCACTTCGGATTTCTTCGTGAAATTCAAGTTTTCACTTCAAATTGGCAACAATAATTTATGATGGTCCTGAAAAGGACAGTTTTGTCGTGATGGTTGAGTAATGCTGAGCTATTAGGGTGTTCAACACAGATGATGCTGACTATCTGTATGTTGTTTGGAACGAGGGTGACGCACTTGGCCCACAGCGACTCACGAAGAGCTACTGAATCCGATCAGTAGCGGTGCGGCTTCTTTGATTAATTGCTGCTTATGTGGGCCGCTGCTCGCTGCTCGCTGCTTGCAGTCAGCCTTTCGTGGTGTAGGCAAAATGTCAAGTGAAATAGAAAAACTCGAAACAAAGTGAACTGGTGATTAAAATCTGAGCTAAACTGTTCACCATAGAATAGGTCTAGTCTATCTGAACAGCTTTGCCCAAAACGGGAGACTTCTATCTAGTCACGATGTGAAGTTAGGGCAAACAATTCAAAATGAATGTAGCACGAGCGCCAACTGATGAGTGAATTAAGTGCTGAACTTTTTACCTGTTTTTACTGTTTCTCGATTTTCTCTATCACTTACTCTGTTTCCTTGTAGTTTTTGTCACCACAGCAGCGTATGCACTGTCTTTACTTTTCCATGTTCCGCTGTTGGTTGAGGGCCTTCCGAGAATTTATCCAGGAACCCTTGCACATGAAACATTTGTTTTAGATCCCATCATAAAAATATTTGCATTCCGGAAATAAAGCGTGATTGGCGTGCGTGATGTACATATCTCGCATTCAGCTGTGATGATTGATTTTCGTCATCGATATTGTCTTTAAATTGCCACAGTTCAGTGAACTAATGTTTCTACAATTTTCCAATACAGCCGCTAGCACAGAAAAAAAATAGAAAACGCGCAGGGATATTAACAAAAGAGAAAGATAGGCCCTTGATTACGAACTTTTCTGTATTTCATCAACATACGTATCCACCAGTGCTGTAAATTTTCATATCATTCGATTGAAGATGAACCAATCCAACCATTCAATCAATTTTGTGTAAACGAATTCTCACATGACCATAATTTGAAGAGCCCCTTTCTCATTCGAATCTCATTGTCACTGTCAATTGGGTTATTTAAGGTTATTAAGTTAAATGCATATTCGTAATCTGCATTAAAAATTGAACCCAAACCCAAAATTTCATCCATTTTGGTACACTGGAACTATTTTAAATAAGTATGATTACAATTGCAAAAATCACCTTATTAGCGCCCCTCGGTGTCACTTTGTATGGGAGCGAGCTGTCAGTTTGTCAGGTTAGTGTCAAACAGTGAAGTTATTATTTTGCTTTAAATCTTGATTTAAAAACCGAGATGAAAGTGTGTGGATTCGAAAAAAATATCGTTGTGCTCAGAAAACGTAGCTCTTTCAGATGATCCCCCTATTCTGCGAGTCACGTGACTCTCTCTCACCGGTGAGGTGACAATAGTCACCTCGTGTGAGGTGACTCTCCATTTGATTTGCATGGAGAGTCACCTCACCGGTGAGAGAGAGTCACGTGACTCGCAGAATAAGGAGGGATATATAAAACAGATATATTTTTCAAAATTAAAGAACCCAATTGAGTCACTCACTATCATTTGATATACGACAGTGGAGTATGAAAGAAACTTAGCAAAATGGTCCCGAACAAACAAGTCGACCCGATGTCTGATCAATGTACGGCTAATTTAAGGTCTATGTCGACCCAATGTCGTGTTGTTGTCGGGTCAATTTTGGGTTTATGTCGGGATAACATCGGATTGGGGTTTGGTAGAAGTCAGGTTAGTATCGGGTTGAGCTCCGTTTATGTGTAGGTTACACTCAATTGAATCATCTATAGCATCAAATGAGAATGATCCATACCTTCGTTAAATTACTAAGCAACTGATATCATCCATTTGAAAGGGAATAGCTACTTTTCTCATTTTCATCAAATGGGTCGCTTACCTACGCAACACCTTCCGTTCGAAAACACCAAGGGCGCGTTGGTCCTCCACGATCATAGTCCAGGTCTCGTGGCCGTAGACGACCACCGGTCTAATCACAGTCAACTTCGTGCGGCGGCGAATTTTAATCGACCGGAGCGTCATCCTGAGTCCAAAGTAAGCACGATTCTCTGTCATAATGCGTCTTTGAATTACTCTGCTGGTATCATACACGAACTCATCGACCACCTCGATTTCATCACCGTCAATCTGAACTCGGGGTGGGAGGCTAACATTGTCTTCCCTAGAACCTCTTCCTCTCATGTATTTTGTCTTTGATGCGTTGATGGAAAGTCCAATCCGCCTTGCTTCAGCCTTCAGTCTGATGTGCGTTTCCGCCATCGTCTCAAAGTCCCGTGCCATGATGTCAATGTCATCGGCGAAGCCAAGAAGTTGGATGGACTTCCTGAAGATCGTGCCACTCGTGTCTATCCCAGCTCTTCTGATCACACCTTCTAACGCGATGTTGAATAGCAGACACGAAAGTTCATTCTAGATTCAAAGGGACTCGAGAGTGTCCCCGATACTCGAACAACGCACATAACTCGATCAATCGTCGCCTTGAGCAATCGCGTCAGTTTATCCGGAAATCCGTACTCGTGCATAATCTTATACAGAATTCTTATAAAACCCAAATTGCTTTATATATCTTAAATATCTTGCAACCCTTGCCACGAGGTAGCGTTTAACATGACTTTTAGTTTCGATTCGATGTACGTGAGTGCATTGTTTAGCACAATCCGTTAACTAGCAAACATCAACTAATCAACAGAGTAGGGATATTATTTTTACTCCAAAAACAAGTTGAATTTGAAAACCACGCCAAAAATAAAGGCACTGTAGTTTATATTCGATTACAATATTCCAAAATTTGATCTTGTCAGAATTTGAATTCTACCGAATATTTTCTAGTGAGGCCCCTTCACTACATTAGATCATTAGATCCGGATCTGTCACGTTGCGGCAAAGTGACAACTAAATCTATTGTCTAACTGTCAAATTTAAGTCAACGCAACGCAAACGGATCTAAGGTGGGTGACCCTTAAGAATGATCGATTGGCTCCGATTTTAACAGCTCATTTAGCTCAAAAAGTTCTATCCGCTCATCTCTTCCCCTGAGTATTTCTAGTACCTAGTAGTTAATTCTTCAAACTCGGATCAATAGCAAAACTCCAACCTTGATATTCGAGTACTTTTTATTTAGATTCTAAACTCATCATTACCATAATGGTAATTTACGCAAAAAAATAATATTACATTTGATTTCGTTCAGGCGAACATTCCTCCTCTGCCAGTCTACATTAATTAGTAACACCTCGGTGTGACCACCTTTTGCTGTACCATTTCCTAATTCTTCCGTTTTCACTAGAAATTTTGCACTCCCGAAATAAAATCCGGATGACTTTGTTCATGCTCTTTCCATATAAATCAGTACGAAAATCACCCGCAGATTGGCACGCATTTTTCAACTCAATTTAGCTCATTCATATTCCATTCTATTTCGTTTTGATTTTAGGATTAAAAAAAAAAGTTCGATAACTTACGAAACTTATTATTGGTTTGCGGACAAGAACAAAAACATACATAGGTACCTATATAAAGGGTTATTCTTGCTCAATGATGAAGCAGAGTATGAACTACCAACTATAGTCTAATCATTTCTGTTTCCGAATGTTATCAAGCACCATAAAGTTTCAGATGTGTTTTCTATATAAGGGTTATAAGTAGAGAGAGAGAGTGAGTTTAAGAGGATGGGGACGGTTGTTTGTTTAATCAATCCTACCGGTTCCTCTCGAAAAGTTCCATAAATTGTCTTTTATCTTTTAATTGTACGTTAGCTCGAATGATAAATTAATATAATATGAAAACCATCTTAGAGAGAAAACAAAGAGATAAAATCTTCAAAAAATCAAGAAAGAACTTATACTTATACTATATAGATCTTTGAAAAAACAAAACAGACTCGTTCTAAAACAAATTTCAATACAAACGATACAACTAGTACATATGTGTGGGTAAAGGTAGGGACTAAAATACGTACGATTCGAAATACTCGCAAATTGGACAAAAAAAGAAAGAGAGCCTGCTCCACAATCACGTTTGGCTTCCCTCGCTGCCGCTCATCGTGACACTAGTGATGTCCTTTACAATCATCTCCGCCACCTGCCAAGCCAGTTCCTCCTGCGCTTTGTCCTCCTGTAAATTTACCAACTTTCGCATCGCCTTCTTCAGTCGATTCTTGCTCCAGCGGTCGTCATCCTGCGGGGGTTCAACGATGTCGAAATCTCGCTCGTACCGCCCCAGGGCATCCACTCGGCCGAACGTCAGCCCAGCTACCGAATTTCTTCTCCACAGCAAGTCCGGATTGTACAGTTGACGTGAATCGATTTGCATTATGTCGCTGCCGGTGGCGGCCCCAACCGTATTCGTTCGCTTGCGATGAAAGCTCGTATCGGACATCGCCAGCAGCGTGTTTTGAGAGGAAATGAAGTGGTTTGCCCTACCGGTGCTTTCACTCGTCACGTCCGAGAACGTTTTCCGATGGCCACGTCGTTGATTGTTCGCTCGGTTGCGGTCGGCGAAAAAGATTTGCTTTCGTCCCGCCAGAATTCCCAAACTACTTGCGGTGGATTCTCCGGCTGGGGTGGTTTTGATCTTACCCAGTAGCTCTGATAGGTATTGTGTGTAGAGTTGTGATTTCAAGAAGCCTTGAAAGTACCGCCTCTCCAGGAACCGTTCAATTATTCTCGAAGGCAACTCGAAACAGTTTTTGATGGAACTCGTGTCCGGCGAGCAGATTCCCTCTTCGACAAGAAATCGAATTTTATCACTAACGTTCAGTGGACAGGTCGCTTGTAACGAGAAATACTTTTCATACAGCACCACGGCGTCAGCTTGAGCTTGGCTATTTTCGGCGCTCTTGCGAAAGTGGCTAGCCGATACGCAAAACTCCAGAATGTGTCGTTTTTCTTTCTGTTCCAGGTATTCCATGAAGTAGAACAGAGCCATCTCGCTGCAGAGTATGTCCTTGAGGTTGAGGCTATCACTTGACAGCACCTGAAACGGGTCAATGGAGGAAATGCTTTTGCTTGAATAATACCTATGGGAGACTTACCTCGAAGGTATATTTACAGTAGAAGCTGCTTTCCAAAAATGCATTCAGGTAATTTTTCTCCATCACTTCCAGCAAATACTGTTGTACATCGTCGAAGATACGTTCGCTGCAGCTTCCCCCGCAAAGTGCCAACGAAATATTGGACAGAATCGTCGCAGGCACTTCTATGTGGCACAGTGAATTGCTGACCAAATACTTCCTATATATTCGAACGGCGTCCGAGTTGACCAGTGAGTTGAATCCGTTCTCCCTGGTTAGTGCTGGCTGTTCCTTCAGCTTGTTCGATTCGCAAATCTGTGTCTTTTCGTCGTCAGTCAGCGATTGACGCATTGTCAGATCACAGGCATCCATCATCTGCTTCCGGTCGTCTTCCAGTGGATGATCTGGCTTCTTCTCTTCTTCTATAACGACTTCCAAAGGAGGGCCAGGCACCGGAGTGCAGCTTCGCGACGTTCGACAACCCGGATCTCCGTCATCCGTTGTCGTTCCTCCATCATCGAAAGCATTATCCGAAAAGGTAGAAATCGAATCGCAATCCACACTCAAATAAGACAAACTATCGTACCCATCCGAGGAAACACTCCTCTGCAAACCCTGATGTGCACCCGTTTTACAAATCCCATTCCGTCCTTCCAATCTTGCGCTTTCCACTGCAGCTGCCTTAAAACTCTCCACGTCCAACCAGAACTTGACGAACGGAAGGGCATTCTTCGTTTCCAAAAACTGTACAAAGTAGCATATACAGCTCTGCTCGGCCAGAATGTCCAACAATTGCCGGGACAACCGAGACCTCACCTCCGGCAAATTTTTCCACCTTTCCAACCAGTAGCATTCTGCTTCTAGCAATGCTTCCTCATCGCTTACCGGTCCACAGCCATTTGCACTACCAATGACATCATCGGCCGTCGTCGATGATGATTTGTTGTTTACATTTTCCTCCTGCGCCAAACTGCTGCCGGATTTTTTCCGCACAGCTGAGAAGAGAGAAGGAAATTAGAAAGTTTGATCATTTTCTCCCATTGCACTACGACCACCACCATCGTCAGCATCGAATTGGATCGTTTTCGTTGATGTGATGATTGGATAAAATAACAAAAACATGACTACTGGAACAGGTGAGGGAGGTTGGGACAGGAGAAATGCCACTTGTTCGGTGGAGCTGAGGAGGAGGAGCGGAACTAGACCCCCTTTTTCATACTCTTTATAAGATGATGATGATGACGATCACGATTTGGCATTGGTGAAACACTTACCAGACTTTTTCAGGAACTGCAACATCTTGGGCGGTGCAATTTACAATCTTCCGCTGAAGATTGAGACGGGGACACTACTTTTCTGCCGCTTTCAGGTGCAAATTTACATGTTTTCGTTACTTTTCGCAGGATGAATAATTTGTTCCACTTGTTTTACTGCCGAGATTCAAAGACGTAATAAGAAAAATTCCGTAAACGTCAAACAAGCGAGTGGTAACAAAAAATGTTGTTCCGAGGGAAAGGAATGCGCAGATCGCTGGAAATATTTCAGCATTATCAAACAACCAGTGAAATGTTTCCCGGAGTTCACACACGCACACACACCCTCTCGTAAATGCTCCGCCGACCGACAAACTGTCAAAACAAAGATCGATTTTCACAGCGTGGTCAAAGCGCGGAGTGCAGTGTTTCATCGGGAGTTTTTGTATTGTTTAACGCGTAAAGTTCACACAAATTTATCTAAAACCAGCTCAACATTGTTCACGGTAGGCACCGATAGTGCTCAACGTCAAGTATGTCGCTAAAAATCACAGGAAAGTCCGAAGGACAGCTGCAGTTGCACCTCTACACCAAGCAGAAACAGTGAGTATCTTCGCCCCTCCCCTCAGTGAGTTCTATTCGCTGAGAGGTTAAGCGTGTTGTTTACCTTCTTCTTCAGATTTGCCGTTCCGGATGTTCCGTACTCGATCCGTGCCAATGTGAGCAACAAAGAGCTGAACGTATTGATCAATACGTTGCTGAAGGATTCCGGAAATTCCGAAGCTGGCAAGGTGGAATTCGATTTCTTGCTGAATGGAGAGTTTGTCAAAATTCCACTGGGACAGCACTTGAAGGAGAGGGATATATCGTTTGAAGACACCGTTGAACTGGAATATGTGGAACGATACCCGGCACCGGAGCCGCAGGACTGTCTGCTTCATGACGACTGGGTTTCAGCTGTCGAAGCCAAGGGTAACTGGATCCTGACCGGTTGTTACGACAATACGGTGAATATCTGGACCGCGAAGGGAAAGCATAAGCTCACCATTCCGGGCCACATTGCACCGGTAAAAGGTGTGACATGGATATCTTTGGATGAAGAGAAGGGTGTATTCGCCAGTGCATCGCAGGATCAAACGGTGATGATGTGGGAATGGAATGTGGCGGCCAATTCGGTAGAATGTGTACACGTTTGCAAGGGACACGAACGAGGAGTGGATTGTATTGCGGTGAACCGGAGCAAAACTCGAATGGCCACCGGAAGTTGGGACACAATGTTGAAGCTGTGGTCGACGGACCTAGAAGGCGAAGGCGAAGCGCAGCCTTCTACCAGTAAGAGACAGAAATTGGACCAGGGGAATGCAAGGACGCCGATTCTTACCCTCGCCGGACATCGCGAATGCGTTTCGGGTGTACAGTGGATTGACGACAACACACTAGTAACATCTTCGTGGGATCACACTATCAAAATATGGGACTTGGCACTGGGTGGAGTGAAATCGGAAATCTGCGGACACAAATCATTCTTCGATTTGAGCTATTCCCATTTAAATGGATTGATCATCGCCGCTTCCCCAGACAAGAACTTGAGACTGTACGATCCTAAATCAAACCGTAAGTCGATAGAAAAGACTAGCGTATCCACTCCGTTTCTAATTTCATTTTTTTTTACAGAGGGTACCATCGTGAAGAACACCTATTTCGGTCACACCCAGTGGGTTCAATCGGTATGCTGGAGCACCACCAACGAGTACCTGTTTGTTTCGGGTGCGTACGATAATCATGTCAAGTTGTGGGATTACCGCAGTCCTAAGGCTCCCATCTTCGAGCTGATCGGTCACGAAGATAAGGTACTCGCCTGCGATTGGTCAAATCCGAAATTCATCCTCTCGGGAGGCTCGGATAACTCGGTACGTGTTTTCAAATCGAAAATCGCAATAGGAGGAGAACAAAAGTAAAATCCAGCGGCATTCGTGATTTATTACATTATATGTATAATGAAGTATAATAGATTTTCGTAAACATAATTCTAACGAGTTGCAATTCCAAGAGAAAGAAAACAACAAACAATTTCTAGTTACCACAATAATTCAACAATCGAACAATAAATTCATCTCCTTCTTCTAGAATATGCACAATGTGATTGCTTCATCTGTTCTCCTACGTGCTTACTGCTGTTAGACGGAATTTCAAAGTTCACCAAAGGTCCCACGCACTCGTCCGTAACTATTTCCGCAAATTCGGCCTCAATTTCCGCTGCCTCGCATGCTCCTGTCATCGCATAATCAACAGGTTTCCTATCGCGCAACCCGGCATCGCCCTCCGTGTCGTACTCGGAATCTGTCGGTGGAACTTCGTAGCAATCGTCGCAGTCGCTGAAATCACTATAAACCACCTCCAGCTGTTGGTTATCGTTCCATTCGGCCGCGTGCTGATGTTCCTTTTGTTCCGCCCGAAACCGCTCGTTAAAGTCCGTCAAATTTTGTTGCAGCATGTTCCGGAAGTTGTAGAACTTACCAATGTTTTCTAAACAGCCTTCACATACCCACGTACGCAGCTCGTCCAGATCTATTATCTTTGAAGGGGGAAAAGTCTTGTGATTAACGATTCCGATTGATTAAAAGCAATCTTCCTTACATTTATCTGGGCACATTGGTAGACTTTCTCCAGAAACGATTTCTCCCTGTTGTAGACTGTTTCCAGAGGCATCATATGGTGGCTGTACTGCAGGCAGAAACGGCACACGATTTGTGAGTTGTTATTATCACTATCCATCGTTTTGAAAATATTATAAAGTTACGAAACTGTTGAACACATGTTAAAGGAATCAAATTGTGCGTAGTAATCAAGCAGCATGCCCGTTGCGAGAACTCGCCGCCGTCGGCCGTCGGGCTTAAAGTAAACATAAACAAAAACATGCTACAGTGTCAGTAGGGGTATGACCGAATTACACCGTATGCTTTGCACCGCGACATGATTAAAATTTACAACTGTACTAGAATACATACCGTGGACCTCCGGTAATCTGACCGGTATTAATCTAAGCAGATCTGAGCACTTTTTATTTTGGACCCCGCTAATCTACATGCAGTGCAAACTAAAAACAACAATCAATACGAAACTAACGATTTTAAATTGGCTCACCACTTGACTAGCCTATTGGTCTCAAGCAAATCGATTAACGAACTACATTCTAGTATAAATTCTAGTACTACACTACGTTTGTTTTGATTCGCTATGAAAGTTTGACAGATAAAATGAGGGGTTCGAGGATTTTCCTTTGTTTCGAGGGGTGCATCGATTAGCTTGGGACCGAAGATAGTACCAGAGTTGAGCCAAAAATTTGAGCACGTTTCTTCGGGACCTACTAGTCTTAAAGTTAAGCGGAACGGAAACGGAAAGTTTGAAAGTTGTCACTAATGACATCAAGATGCCTAACCGAAGTCGATTTGGATCTAACTTGTTTCCAATCCTACAAGTAGGCTTACTCAGATCGGGCTTTTCCGCTGCCGTTGCTGTTCCACTTCCGCCGTCATTGCGCTTGGGCCTTTACCTCTATGGTACCAGAGCTGAGCCAAAAAGTTGAGCACATTTCTTCGGAACCTTCTAGTCTTAGAGGTAACTCTATGAAAATACTTTGTTCACGAAAAATACGTTTCATAATGAATTAAATACACTTTAATACAAAAACTCACAAAACTTAATAACACATAACCTTGGTGGGACTTTGTATGGGAGCGAGCGGTCAACGAATAAATTATTGTCAACGATCATAAATTTAAATTTTGATATAAAAATCGAGATTAATGTCTACGGAATCGATAAAAATATCTATTAGATGATGTATAAAAATTGGTATATTTTTCGAAGTTAAACAACCCAATTGCGGACAAACGAAATGCTCCAGTCGGTTCGTCGGTGGGTGATATACCAACGTTATTGGTTAATAGCAGCACTTTTTTTGTTCACCAAAACAAAACATCTCGTTTATCTAATTGACAAAAATGTTACAAACGACCCAAGCAAAAAGGACTCAAGATTTACGAGATATTTACAAAAGAAGCCATTGTTTACATTTGTGACATCGGCCCTTATGAATGCTCAATGTGGAAATAATCTCTTCAAGTTCTAGTACTCCTTCCATTTTACACCGTCGTTAAGATAATTTTCTACACCGGAGAACCCCTCGGCAAAAAGTGAGATTGATGTCAATCATAAAAAAAAAATCGTACAAAAAATGACAGCAGCTGTGCTTCTCGGTTTTTGGATGACGTGACAAGCGCAAGAAACAGTGATAGAGATCCGAGAAGAACTCGGTGTCTGTGAAAAAGCCGTAAATATTTAAATTCCGCCGGAGAAAGAACCTTTCTGGGACGGTTTATCAATCATTCCGGAGGTGGAAACAGCACCAGATAAAATAAAGTGACATCAAAGCGGAAGTAGAACCGTAGGAACGTGCTTAAACTTTGCCCAATAGTTGATGCGTTGATGCTAATTCAGAACACAGAGGCTTTCGATATTGGGAGAAAGAAGCTGCAGGACCAGTTTTTCCTCTGACAAAAAGTATCAATCAGCTAAGCCAGATTTCTGACTGATAAGTCCGAGAGCGAAGAGGTGACGAGTGCGACGAAGGGCTGGAATTTACAAAATTGGGACAGCATTGGACTTTGAGTTTGAGAGGTGGCGACAAGCTGTTCAAACAGAAAGCGAAAGTGATTACATATAAGATTTTTGTAAAGGATTGGAAATGGAGAATAGTTCGTTGGATAGCAGTTACACCAATGCCGACGGTAGTAGGGCCAACGATGAGCAGCAGGACAAGTGCAAAAGGAATGGTGCGGGTAAGATTTACGTGCAATTTAATTGTTTACATTTCAGAGTTGATTAATGTTGCAATTTCTCCTGCGATTGGTGCGTATGTGCATTTCATCATCATTGCAGCACCGCTGATGAAGATCAAAACGTACCTCTCGGCGCTGAGGCCCTGGTCCCTGTCGGCCAGTTTGGTACCGACACTACTCGGAGCTGCGATCGCCTACCGAACGATTGGCTTCCAGGAGTTCAACTTTCTAACGTTTCTTTTTACCATCTTCACCGTCGTTACGGTACACTGCGCCGGTAATGTCGTGAATACGTACTTCGACTTTGTTAAGGGAATCGACAACCGCAAATCGGACGACCGAACGCTGGTGGATCACATCCTGAGTAAGGATGAGGTATGTTGTGGATGGATGTGCTCTTTATGATACGGTTGTGCAATATATGGCATTTAATCCCATTGCAGGTCGTTACCTTAGGAGCTCTGCTTTACTGCGCTGGCTGCTTTGGCTTTATCTTCTTGGTTTATCTATCGCCAGCAAAGTTGGAACATTTGGCTTTGGTGTACTTTGGTGGTTTATCTTCCAGTTTCTTGTACACTGGTGGTATTGGACTGAAATACATTGCCCTTGGTGATGTGTTAATTTTGATCATCTTTGGACCGATTTCGGTCTTATTCGCCTATATGGCCCAAACCGGGCATGTAGAATGGATGACCATCTACTACGCTATTCCGCTGGCATTGAATACGGAAGCCATTTTGCACAGTAATAACACTCGTGATGCTGAATCCGACAAGAAAGTAGGAATCGTCACGCTGGCTATCCTGATAGGGAGAACGGCCTCCTATATCCTGTATGCACTGCTATTGTTCACGCCGTATGTGATGTTTGTGGTGCTGGGGGTGAAGTATTCCGGTGCGTTCCTGCTGCCTATGGTCACTCTTCCGCAGGCGTTTAAAATTGAGAAACAGTTTCGTAATGAAGCTACCCTTCACGGAGTGCCCAGGCAAACGGCTAAGCTGAATCTGTTCTTCGGGATCCTGTACGTTGTGGCTTGCTTCTGCGCTTCACAGTTACCGTTCATCACAAGAAAATAGGATAGGTTTTAAATGTCCGGTGTGAGAAGATCTGAGATCACCGCTGTCGTCGTACTTATAGAATATTCGATACGTCACACTCGCAGCGATTATCGGCCGGTTGGTAGCTTGCGTGGTTCCACGAGGGTTTATGTATGCATGCTGACATAACCCAGTCAATTACACACAAACAAGAAAAATTCGCTGGTTGCAAATTGACTTCGTTCTCTATCGACACAAGTCTTACTTATTGCATGACTTGTTTGAAACTCTATTAGCAAAAATACTTTCAAAGACTTATTTTTCAAATATTTTTGAAACAATTATTTAATTCTGAAATATTTTACTTAAATTACTATACTAACACACTGGATACTGTTACTTATTCACGCTTCTGAAAAATTTATTTATTGTTACCGCAACTTCAGACGACCGAGAATCGCTGCCCGCAAAACAAATCTGTACTGAACAAATGCGCCCATTTGTGAAACCGATTCCGATTCAGTTTCGTTTACTCAAGACTGTTTTTACCATACTGTTCTCCTAATACTGATCTACCGCAGCGGTAGGCTGGTTGTGTTGAATTTTCTTGGCAAATGGGGTGGCATGGGATGTCGAACGATGCTGACTGTTGGTCAATTGGCTTGAACACATTTTTGGGGAGTTGTGTCGATTTGATGCTTCGGAAAAATCACATGCAGTTTGTGCCCCGGACCAGCTCTGCGATTTTTTATTCACTTCTACTGGATGAATTTACTGACACTGACGATAACTTCTGTCAATGATAATACTTTACCATAGTTTCCTTATTGTCAATTCATTATGATCCATGGAATCGAAAATATTTTAATATCATTAATGCACGACACGCGCAAGGCGCAACACAACACAATAACAATACATTTGTTAGTCAGAACAATATGATTTCAGAGCTACTCCTCAAACTTAAAAATAGTTAAAGCTAATAATAATCCATATAGTGGAAATGGCTCTAATGTTGTCCTATGGATCTAAAGATTGGGCCCATCGATAAAAATCTCCTGTTCTTCAATTTATCTTAGAACAATGCGTTATCTGGACAATACAAATGGATATTTTTCCTTTACAATTTATGTATGGGATCAATGTTAGGGACAGCTAGGCCGACATTTAGGACATCAATATTTAACAAACACGATTAAGATCAGTCAACATCGTTCTAGTCCGTGTGCCCAAAATCGACACAACAGTAGATGCGCACTAGTTATTAATAATTTATTCTTACGACAAGTTAAACTATTTTCAATGTTTTATAGATTACATATCCTGTGCCTAGTTGTTGATTAGTCTATAAATGAATCGTAATCGGTTGTTTTCAGGGCATTTTAGATTGAATGATGGAGTATTTCGCTACTACTGCCTGATCTACTTCTTAGAATCGGTTTATTCCTTTCCCAGAACACATTACAAAATCAGAGGGTCAGACGGTCATCGCCGAATACACACCTTATATAGACAACAATTCCTAGTTTGAATAAACCCGAGCGTGAAAGCACCCCCTACTGAGGGATAAATAGCGTGGGATTGCGTCTAAGTGCATGTCGAATATACGTACCTACGTTGAAAATCCAATGTTCTCTCTAGCACACTTTACCTTTATTAGAGAATCTCTTGCCAAAATTGTTGTTTGGAAAGCAAAACAGTTTAGTACATCAGGAACGCTCGCATAGCATAAACCACGTTGATATTTTGTTATTCGAATGTTGTTTAAATACTCTTTGCTTCCAGTTTTTGTTTGTTTTATTAAGACTGTTCCAATAAGGGAGGTGCTGCCTCTGAATGCTCGGGTTGCAACTACATATCAAATACCGGAACATATTTGATCACTAGAACCATTTAAACCAAAAGTGAAACCCCACCCGAACGACAACAAAAAGAACAAAAAAAAAATCAAACAAAATGAATGATCGTACTTAAAATTAACAATTAAGGAACTTCCTCTGTATCATTATTATATGATTAATTGCCATTGGATTGGTAAGCTGGAACTGAAATGGTAAAAATTCCAGTTTGTATTAGACTCGAACGAAATTGATACCAGTGCTACTTTATTGTGCTGGAATGAATGGGACTTAGGGAAGTGAGCGACAATAATTAGCTATACTAAGTAATATAAAAATATATCGAGATCCACCAGTAAGAATAATTAACACGAATCTACCAATCATGCATAACAGATTTCTTATAATAGTTTCAATCGTGGATGGTAGGAAGTGACTCCTCTCTGAACAACCTACATAATCAATATGTTATCGATATTTACAATGTAAGTCTCAACCATTATTGCAAACTATGAGCCCGTTGACGAAGAACACTACCTATCTGTTGATTATTCAAACAGAGTTATACATTTATAAGAGTGTCTCCCAGAGAGGAAAAGCATTCTTACATAGTTATATGGAACTGCTCCATTCAACTTCTACGTAGAGGTATTCTGAATACATTCAATCTCGGTTAGCAGAAACAATGGCATAATTATTTATCGCTCTGAATACATAAACAGCTTGCAGGAAAAATAAAACAAAACTACATTGTTAGATTAAAAAAAAACGTGCATATAACTTCTGCCCATATAAGCATAACTACTGTCCCATCTCTGCTCGATTTTCTATTCATATGGGACAGCTATGCTTTTATGAGCAGTATTCTGTTCGAAAGTGCAATTAGGAACGTACACAATGTTACAAGCAGCTATTGTTTATAAAAAAACATGCAACGTTTGAACCTATTGAAAAAAACTGGCGTCTTTTGCTTACGATAAGCGAGAGAAATTTGCATAAACAAGTAAAACATTTATATAGTGAAGACACGTTGTTTCTTCTTGATTTCTACGATAGGAATTTTATAATCTACGAATGAGAGAGGACAAGGTTTTTTTTTTGTTAAATAACAGTAACTGGTAGTGCTGATGTAGATATAAAAATGAGATTGAGAAAAAATCGAAAAACTAGTTTACATCTTTGTTTTTTATTCGCAAACTTCACATCCCCATGCAAATCGAATTCCTGCAAAACGAATTGCTGGACAACGTCCAGTTAAAAGCATATTTTACTGAGTGTTCAGTAAATTAAAATATTTTGCGTGATAGCTGATAGTCAACACCTTAAAAGCATTTTAGTGTGACTTGTTTTTGAAACTGTTGTGTTTGCAGTGAAATAATTCAAATATAAATTAGATTGCTTTAATTTCAAAAAGCTTTTCCAGATCAAACCAATTGCTGAAAATACAGCAAAAAGATTGCATATCCGTTGTGCTGGATTATCAGTTAATATTGCTAATTTCTAGTTAAATGCTGTCAATTTTGCGTCAGATCAATTTGCTGGTCGATTAGCAACATGTTGACGTAGGACTACGTCTTTGTGGACAATACAAATCAAAACAAAGGGCCCATGCATTAATTATGTCACCCCCTCCCCTCCTAACGTGACGTTTTTCCTATACCTAATGCATTGCTTGTCACAAAATCTTAGACCCCCCCCCTCCCTGCGGGATCCCTGCGTTGTGTTTTGATACGGATAAGTACGGAAACGAATAAATGAACACGGCGAATGAGAACGACCCAAATTTGAGTTTATTTCACTAATAATCGCCAAAAGTGCAGGAACTCAGCGATGAGTAAATTTGCCTCATGTTTTCCCAGGATTTTCCAGGGAAAAATTCCCGAATTTGAGAAAAGTAAAGATTGGATTCACACAGTCTATTGGTACTACTCCGAGACTGAATAAAATTTTCGTCAATTTCCTCATTTTCCGGCAGATTTTTTAGGTTTTCCACAGGAAACCATGAGACAAATTTTACTCATCGTTGAGTTCCTGCACTTTTGGCGATTAAAGGGTGATACGGTCAAAATTTGGTCAAGGGAAAACGCGTGTAAATCGGTGAAATCGTTTATTTAAAAAATCAAATTAAATTTCTTTTTCAAGTTCAATTAGTATAAAATTCAGGAAAAATATTCAGTTAGGCTTCCGCTTTTCCAAATCCGAATTGCCGGGCCTTACGCTTGACCCATGCCATCAGATTTTGTACAGCCACCTTGTCCACCTTCTTCGCCGCAGAAAGCCAGTTTGCCTTGAACTGCTGCTCGCCCTTAGCAGTTTTTTTGGTCTTCTTTAGGTTCCTCTTGACAATAGCCCAGTATTTCTCAATTGGGCGGAGCTCTGGCGTGTTGGGAGGGTTCTTGTCCTTGGGAACCACCTGCACGTTGTTGGCGGCGTACCACTCCATGGCCTTTTTACCGTAATGGCAAGATGCCAAATCCGGCCAAAACAGTACGGAACAACCGTGTTTCTTCAGGAAAGGCAGCAGACGTTTATTCAAACCTTCTTTCACGTAAATTTCTTGGTTGACAGTCCCGGAAGCTATGAAAATGCTGCTTTTCAAGCCACAGGTACAGATGGCTTGCCAAACCAGATATTTCTTTGCGAACTTTGACAGTTTCATGTGCTTGAAAACATCTGCTACCTTTCCCCTTCCTTTTGCCGTATAAAACTCCTGTCCCGGAAGCTGCTTGTAGTCGGCTTTGACGTAGGTTTCGTCGTCCATTACCACGCAGTCAAACTTCGTCAGCATCGTCGTGTACAGCCTCCGGGATCGCGCTTTGGCCGTCGTATTTTGTTTATCATCGCGATTTGGAGTCACTACCTTCTTGTAAGTCGATAGTCTGGCTCATTTTTTGGCTCGATGGACGGTTGTAGACGATACACCCAGCTTATTTGCGGCATCTCGGAGAGAGAGGTTAGGGTTTCGCTTGAAACTACCGGCAACTCTCTTTGTCATCTCAGTGGCTTCCGGTTTTCGATTCCCCCCGATCCAGACTTCCTGGCTGTCGACAAACGTTCCCCAAACACTTTAATTTTTTTTTTAATTTTTTGCCAACTTTGCGTGCGAGTAGCTCGGATTTTCGCGATGCGCGAGCAAAATTTTGATACGCTGCTCTTCTTGCTTGGACGGCATTTTGACAACTGAAGAGTGAATTCCAAAATCAAAAAAAAAGCAACATTCTACACACACACACACCTTCAAAATGAGGGGTGTTCAGGTTTTTTAAATGCAAAATTGAAAGAAATACGTCAAGTTGATATTGACCAAATTTTGACCGTATCACCCTTTATGAGTGAACTAAACTCAAATTTGGGTCGTTCTCATTCGCCGTGAAATAAAACACACCGATGTGCTTGGCCGTCATGCCATGGCGGAGGCATACGAACTACTGGTCTATTGTTTATTTGTATTCGTTTGTATAGTAGCTACAGTGGGTAGGGTAGTTGTACATGTAGATGACACACTGCGCATTTGTTCGCGTCGTCAGTAGTGTCGAGTCGGTCGCATCGTGTGATGGGAAGGCAGCGCTTCCGGAGCTGGCTCCGAGAGAAAGCGGAGAAGGCGAACAGTGATATGGGTAGCTCGAATGTACATATCTCGAATACATATACGTTATTCTTCCCACCGATGTAAAGCACCCCTTACACAAATCAATATATTTACAATACATTGACATACTGACAATATTATTGAAAAGGTGATATTGAAGACGATGATTGATGACAAGTATTGACGAAAAGCTGATTCTAATTTCACTTTGTCAATACTCAGTCCATTTCGTCCACTTCGCCATCAATATCATCAATAAACGAATATTGACAATATTAATGGCAATACGTTAGAAGCCTTTTTACCTCAATGTATTAAAGTCAATATTACTTGTCTCAATTTCTCCACACAAGAAACATGGATCAGGAAAAAATGTGTTTAGAGTTAATGTTTGCATTCGGGTCCAAACAGAAACGTTTGCTGGACCTGTATGTATTGAAAATACTAGCTACACACTGAATTCGGATCACCGAAGTCGTTACTCGAAGGAAATCAATAAAATCGACAAATTTGTTTTGTATCATTAAATGGGGTGAACTAGATCTGTGCATTTTCAGAATAAATTTCCAAATTTTTAAATTATTCACTGATGATTTGTAAACTTTTACCGAACAGTTCCGTGGTTAAAAAATACCCAAATAGCGGAGTCCTGGTTTAGTGGATATAAATATAGAAATCAATTTTCACCCAAAATTTACTTATACTTGCACATTTTAAATTAATTTTCAGGATTTTTAGAATAAACAGTGTTAAATAATGATCTATTCCAGGCCTACTCTTAAGTTCCCAGAATGATGTAAGAACTAGGTGATTACTGAACTCTCCTGTTTCGTTAGAACAATAATTTTTACCTAATGTTACCCATACATATAATGCTTAGTTTTGTCCAAGGTGACTACATATAGGTGTTCTAATGTGCCAAATTCATGATTCAGCCATGTTGGATTTTTGTATGGGACAGCGACCGAGTTTGTTTACAATTTGCTCTAAAACCGCACCCCCCACCCCCTCCCCGCAACCTCCTCGCCTATATAGTGACAAAGCTGTATCACCATTTGTATACCCACCATGGTTTTGTCTATGATACTTGATTCCCTTTCACAGACTTCAGAGTAGAGTACTTATTTTTAGATTGGCCCCGCCTTTAGAAAATGAGCACCAATCATGTTATTGCATGTTATGCACTCCGAATGACCGAAGTATCAAACATGTACCCATCATTTCAAACTGTACATTGGACAATTTTTAACCTATGATTATCTTAAATAAATGAAAGCAAATTTGGATGGGTGTTTTTGCATCATATACAATGATAGAAGAGCAATAGTTTGTATCGCTTAACTCAATTTGTTTACATTTGTTACTTAGGACCTTTTGAAAAGTGACACGAGAAATATTGCTTTGAGTTGAGAGCTCAATGCAATTTGGTGCTGCAAAGTTGGCAATGCCTGCAACCCAGCGCAAAAACGCAACACGCTAAGAACAGATAACCCAAATAATGTAGGATTGGTTTACCCAGGACAAACTCTGAATATTGGTATATTCGTAATCATAATATGGGTATCTATTATCCATATATGAGTTAGTTTAGTGCAAATTTAACTTCAATTTACCCATTGTTGTATTAGTATTATTATTATTAGTATTTTATTATTTATTAGTATTACCCCTAATTTTGAGTTTGTCCGGTTTAGTCCCAATGTCGGTCCCAATCTGTAATCTAAAGACCAATAATTGCACACTCAGCTAAGTTTTGCTTGTTCGGTAATTTTTTACCGGAAATAATCGGTAAATTTAGTATATTACAGATTTTTCGGTAAACAAAAATAATTTCACCAATATTCGGTAAAATTTTAACGAAGTTTCTGTAGTTTGATTATAAATTTGATGAACTCTGTAAAAAAATACCGAACGATCTGTAAAATAAGCCAAAACGCCGAATTCGGTAAAAAAATACCGAACAAACCGTAAATCACAAGTAATTTTACCGAAATTTTGTACTATCAAACTGTCAAATCTGGAGAGGCTTTATTTACTAGTGAATGGTAAATAGTGCATCCGGAATCAAGCGCAGCAGGTAAGGATAAAAATTCTTGACCACGATCAATGGATCACCGACATATTTCGTGAGTAACTGTTTATTTAGCAAATCCAATTATTTTCCAGGCATTTTCAGCGATAGCATGATTTGATTGCAGGTTATTTATCTGGACTGCATCGCATAACATCGGGCTCTAACACATTTCGGCGTCAAATACATTTTTTATTGCACGTATCACAAGTGCAGTGACGGTTTTAAAATTAAATAAAAGCTGATAAATATTATTTCAAGTGTTTTTAATTCAAATTAACTGAAAACGGTAGTAAAATTAAAAAAAAATATTGGGAAAATCAGTTTAACAGAACAGTTCGGTAAAAAATTACCGATTCGCTTCGCAAAAAAGTGCCGAATCGTTCGGTAATTTTGACAGCTCATCAAAAAATTGGTTTACCGAACGTTCGGTAGGCATTTCGTTTACCGAACTGATTACCGAACGTTCAGCTGTTGAAAGTTCGGTAAAAAATTACCGAGTACGGTAAAAATTTCTGAGTGTGTGTAATGGCCTTAACTCCATTTTGTAAACAAACTTTGTAAGGCCATTTTCTCGTGAACCTAAACCATAATCGGGTAGAGGAGAATTTCCCCTGCCTGTTCATTATGTTTGTTTGCCTTTGAAGACTTCGGTTCGCGAGAAAATGGCCTTTCAAGGTTTGTTTACAAAATGGAGTTAAGGCCATTTCAATTGTTGGTCTTGAATCTGTTTTTAGCGTGTATGCTCGCTCAATCGGATAATAACTTATTTTCTTTGCAGTGGGGCAGCTTTCAGCTCCCCACAACAGTTTGTTTGTGTGTGTGTGAGTGAAGATTGCTACTGCTTTGCTCGGCTGTCTCAAACTCATCGAAACGAAACTGGCCGAACGAGAAAGGGAAAGGACTGCAGTCTGGAAAGCGGCTTTTCTTGTGGACATTTTCTCCAGTCAATCATAACGGAAATATTGTACGATTAGCAGAAAAAGGTATTACCAGTTAGGTATTTGGTGATTTGAGGTGTGGTACTGTTAAAAGTGGGTGAGTTATTAAGAATTTTCCGGTTTTAAAGTGCTTTATTGCGATTTAATGAAAAGTAGGTTCCATCGGATTGAGCGAGCGGTAGTGTGAGTGCACATGGCTTGAGGGTTGAATTGGTGTGGGTGCTTGATCTGTCCGTGCTGCCGGGAACCCGGATAAGTTAGCAAGTTTGTTAATAGATTTTGCTTCCATTTTCAGCTGCAACATGCTATTTCATTGTATTCTGAAAATTGAAAAATAGTTTACTTCATGTGTAAACTTCGCCTATATGTGTCTATTCCGATCACTTTCGTAAGAAGGTATTTTTCACTTGTCACTTTACTTTGTAAACAAAAATTTGGCATCCTTTGCTGCGAGGTGATGAACTCTGGCCAGGGTGGTGTTTGTGTTTGTATTTTGGTGCGACAGCCAACCAAAGGAAGCCCAGGGGGTGAAACATGAAGAATGAATTGGGTGAACACGGTGCAAAGGAGGCGAACCAAACCAAAAGAGTCGAGTCTGTGATAGAAGGAAGGCAGGCGATAAATTTCCTGCCCGTAGGAGGAAGCTATTTTCCGGTGCTTTTATCTGTTGGAAACTATTGAAACAATCTCGTGGGTGTAGATTAGGTTTCAGGATATCGAAAATAGCAACAGAACTGTGCGTATCGTGCCATTTCTCGGTGAAATATTCAAATCAAGTTGGAAAAATTTGTCTCAAAATGGCCGCTTTGATTTATTGGAAAAAAGGGACTTGGAATTTTTCGTTCCAATCTCTGCTAAAAATAATGTTTGTTTATTAATGGCAAAGTTTGAAATGAATGGAATATCGTATACCCGGAAAATCATGTAGTTGATTCCCGTGGATGCTGTTCCTGTAGATCCAGGAAGTAGCTACATTTCAGAACGTTTCTTGGATCGATTGCGAGAGGAAAAAAAAAAAATATTACTCCTTGCTTATACTGTGGTGGAAACAAACTGCAAAAAGCCGAAAACAAAGAAGGCAAACGTTCTCGGAAGTCTCATTCTTCTTCTCTGTAGTTCTAGCAGAACCTTGCTTTGATAGTTTTCGTTATATAAGCTTTGTTTGAAATTTTTTGGTTCTGATTAAATAGGAAAAAATAATCCTTTTTGCAAGTCAGTCTTTTCATTAGTAAATACATATTACATACGAAGTTGATCTGATTGCGATGCTTTCGAAACGTCATTTTCAATAGTCACTTGTTTACCATCATCTATTACGTTCCAGATCAGGATTGAGTGCAATTTTGCAGCTTGAGTGGAAAAATGTCGACCAGTGCTGGTTCGAGTAGCGCTGCCGGAACAACGGCCGCTGGTAGTGGTTCAGCTGGAAGCGCGGGAGGTAGCAGCGGTGGTGGCGGCGGTAGCGGAAGCAGCAGCACTGGATCCGGCGGTGGACGTCGCAATGGCAATGGAAACGGAAACGGCAGCGGAAACACCACACCGGAGGCACCGGCTGTGCCCAAGCCCGAGACGAAGGAAACCAAGTCGAATCCGAAGATTTCCAAAGCACTAGGAACGTCCGCCAAGCGTATCCAGAAGGAGTTGGCTGAAATCACACTTGATCCGCCACCGAACTGCAGCGCTGGTCCCAAGGGAGATAACCTATACGAATGGGTTTCGACTATCCTGGGGCCGCCCGGATCCGTGTACGAGGGAGGTGTGTTTTTCCTGGATATTCACTTCTCACCGGAATATCCGTTCAAACCGCCCAAGGTCAGTTCGCCGCAGAGTAACACAGATTGTGAAATTAAAAATTTAAATGTTTATTTAATAGGTCACATTCAGAACGAGGATATATCATTGCAATATCAACAGCCAAGGTGTGATCTGCCTCGATATCCTCAAGGATAATTGGTCTCCGGCGCTGACCATCTCGAAAGTGCTGCTTTCCATTTGTTCTCTACTAACAGACTGCAATCCAGGTACGATTCGATGCGCATGGCAACAGCTAGAAAAGAGGATAATTAAATGTGATCATTTATTTTTTTACAGCTGATCCATTGGTTGGAAGTATTGCCACTCAATATCTGCAGAATCGGGAAGAGCATGACCGGATTGCTCGCCTGTGGACTAAGAGGTATGAAGTTTCAAATGTTAGAATTAATCCATCTATAGCGAGATCTGGCCCTTCTTACACATCTGAACTCTGACAATTCGGCACCAATACCAACTGGCAGAGGCATTATCTCTATATCTGGTGGCAGTGTTATTTTGCGGGTTTGAGCGTTTACTCACCCAAGGCAGTTTCACGTACACTCAAGTCTTTTTTACACTGGGAGATGTGCAAAGTGGTCAACAATGCTCGGGTTCTTATTTACTTTTGTTCTTGATCATGGCTACACATTTAGTGTTCTACTCCAAAGATCAATAGTTTTCTATATGAGAGGGTTGTAATACTGAATGGATTGTAAAATAAATTATCCCGCTGACCGCTGGCATAAGAAGACAAGAGATAAACACTGCTTCATTCCTATAGTACATATAGCGTCTGCCTATAGGTTCAAGTGATATTGATCCGAATAAAGTTGTTATTTTTTTTAAATTATTTTGTTTACTTTCGAAGAGGTCTTATAGGTGATTCCACCGACAAATTCTTTGAATAACCTTTGCTTCGAACTATTGTCACGGAACTCACTGTTCATAAACTACGAAGACCGTTTTTGAGAGATTGTATACCCTTCGCTTCTACTCGCTTTTTTTTTTGCATATATTTGGCATATATTTAGGGCTCATATTATTTTCTTCTAACCATTGAATCTTATGTAAGAAAATGCGAGAACTCCACACCTAACCCCTTATTTTTTTGTATTTTGCTCCCTCTCCCACATCGAACATGTGCAAAGTGCAACTACCTGATTGCCACATAAAATATCCAACGGAAATAATTTTCGGAGCTTGACGAAATCATTTTTTCTTCTGTTCGGAATATAACACCATTGCGACAAGTAATTTGATCTATTGTAGCATATCCCGTGTGTTTAGTTTAGCGCATGTCGTATTACTCCATCACTATTGAGAAATGATGAAGTATTCGGTTTTGATACAGTTGTCATTCTTGCCTTCATCGCAAAGAATCGATTCTAACTGAAAGGTCCCGCTATTTATACCCTTCGAAGAGTGAGAGCACCCTCCCTTTGTCAGTAAAAATTGGATTCCTTAGCAACAAAATTAAGCAGTGATCATTATTTTAATCATCCATGTTTCTGACTCTACCTTGTGTATTTTGTTTTCTCTTCCAGATATGCAACGTGATTTCCTAAATCCGACGTTCTGTATATTTTTTATGTGAAAATCAGTAATATTTATAAAACTAACCATAACGAAGGAAACATACTACAACTAATAATCTAAAAGAAGAAGTAATAAACGTAGCAAACACTCAATACAAATCAGAATTCCAAACTTGAAACAAAAGAAAACAATTAGAAAACTCCCGTCGGCAATTTGTATTTTATGCGACCTCCTGCGTGTGTGTCGCTATTTCAATAATCCTTTTCTCTAACTTGAAACCTCGATCCCCATCTCGTCGTTGGAATTTGTTGAGCATTTGCAAAAAAAAAATCCTTGGAACCTAACAGGACAACACTCGCAGGTAGTACATAGACTAATTTCCGTTCCCACGTGGTTTGCGTTGCCGTTGTGGATCGACTTGCGTGACGTAGCCGGAAACGGGGACATACCTACTACATATTTCCGCAGGCTCATCAGCAATTCCTCTGTCCGGTTTTTTTTATCGGTTCCGAAGGAAAGCTATCCACATTAGTACGATAATTAAGTGAAGTAAAAAAATAGGATTTATAATTGAAACGCGATGTCGCCGTCTTCATTAAGTTTGTTTTGTAGCAGGATAATCCAGGATAGGATTAATTTGATCAAATGGACAAAATAAGTACTGTGAAATGATTGGCAGCGCGTGGTAATGCAGTAATGTAATGATGGACGATGTTCTTACTTCTGAAAAGTAGGTAGTTCTAAAAGTGCTGCATATTAGAAGTGAAAAAATAAAGTTGATGGCTCAACGAATGTCTTTCTTTCTTTCTATTGGCATGATGATGTACAAATTGTGAATCGTCAGACAATTCTAGGTTAAATTTAGTAACTACAGATTTAGTTTAAAATGTACAATTGACTTTTCAACACTTCTTCATTATTAGTTCCTTCTCCTACAAGTTTTGTTTTGAGACAATATGAAAAGTTGTATTTTCTGAAAATATTACGGTTCGCTTCAGGATGCCTCCACTCGGCACAACATGATGTGATTAAAAATTTCTCAAAGACTGATGCCACTGATTATTTGAAGTCATCAATAATGCGTGATCTCAAACACAAAGATAGAAGTAATGAAGGTATGCAAATGTGACAACAAATATGTGTTGTGCCGTGCTAAGAGTGAGGAGACTACGAGGTTGTATATTTTCAGTAAATATTCCTAAACATATCTGTACCTAAGTAGCACCACGTAGCGTTACTTAATGAAAGAAGGAACCGTTCGGTTAATTAGAAAACGTATGCAAATTCTGGGCACCATAACAGCTCACCACGTGCAGAATATGAGTAGGTAATTATTAGGCCTGATTGTTAACTAGAGCATGGAAAACAAAATCGTGGATTAATGTGATATGTAAAAATCGAATTGAAAGCCAACAGAGTAACGAGTAAAATCTGATTAGTAAGAAAACAAGTTCCCTTTTTTTCTGATAATTCGCACCAGACTATTCTAATGCTTATTTTGTTTTGCCAAGTCCAAATTCGTTCGATATCATCCTATGGCCTACATTTGATTTGGAGCAAGCGCGAATTAAATACTGCAATCATTTCAGATTGACTGCTAGAATACGAATGCAAGCACAATAAGTACAGAAGTCCTTTAAAATCCTCTTTTTTTTAAACCTTTGGGCAAATAAACCCGTTCAGCCAAGCAGGAGATTAGAGAGTCGGAAGGAAGGAAACATCCGAAATTGAAAAGAATACAATATTTAAACTATACAGATAATAAAATGCAGTAAATGTGTATCAAATTGTTTGCTGTCCGTTTGTCTCAATATATCACCACCAGAAACCACAACTAAAACATCCATAAAAGTTAGTAAACAATGAATAATAAACCTATGAGGAAGGATGAAGCGGCGCCGGTGGTGTAGTGGTAAGCGTGATTACCTCTCACCCCAGCAGGCCTGGGTTCAATCCCAGTCGGCGCCGCCGGGATGTTCTGAGGCATAACATCTCTGATCACGCCTTCCTTCGGAAGGGAAGTAAAGCCGTTGGTCCCCGGTTCATGAGTTGATGGGTCGATATGTAGGTAGGGTCCAGGTGTGGGAGCTGCCTCTCTGGCGTCGGTAGCATTGGTGCTCAGCACGGAAAACAAGATCGACGGAAAAACAAATCAAAGGAAAAAAAAAAAGGAAGGATGCATCGTTTTAATTTTGACTACAAAAAAGATAAAGAATAAAGTCTTAATAAAGAGTTCAATGACGGGCAAACATTGCTACATTCACAGTTGACGATAAAAATCTTCTAGTAGACGCATTGTTTGCTTGCTGCGTTGTTGTTTCGAGCTAGTGGTGATAACTCGTGCGAGCGCAGAAAAATTTCGGTTGGTATTTCGGTTACGAACACCCTTGGTTTTCTTTTTCCGGACAATGCTGCGCAGCCAACACTGGTGGAGATGGTCCGCGTTGTAAAAAGACTCGCCGGTAACCAGCGAACAATGGATACAGCCTACAAAAATGTAGAGGAGAGGATGGTGTTTATAAAATACAAGTCCGAGGAGGGCATGAGAGAAGCCCTTGCTTGCGCTCAACGAAAAGAAGCTGCCGTTCCATTAATGGAGAAATGGTGGATATTTACATGTCGGTAGCCGGTAGTAACATTCAATATGTACGAGTGTTTGACCTACCGCCGGAGGTATCCGATCACGATCTGTCGCTGGTGCTCTTCAAACGCTGTGTTCGAGAGAACTATCCCCCGAAGCTTGATTTATTTACTGGTGTCCGTGGACTCTACATGGATGTAAAAAATGAAATCCCATCGGTGTTGTACTTCCACAATAGACGGGGGAGATTTATTTTTTTATAATCTTTAAGATCTTTTGTCTTGTGAAACTTGGCTCTCTTCAGATATCGATCTTCCTTTTTATGATTTTAACATTATTCGACTGGATCGTGAGGATTCGCGTGGAGGAGGGGTACTTTTGGGGATCAAAAAGTGCCATTCCTTCTATAGAGTGAATCTTCCACAATTTCCAGGTATTGAAGTTGTTGCATGTCAGGCTATTATTAAAGGTAAGAGCCTTTGTATTGCTTCTGTTTATATTCCTCCTAGAGCCGTTGTTAATCGCAAACAACTTTCAGATATCTGTTCGGTACTTCCTGCTCCACGGTTGATTATGGGAGATTTTAATTCCCACGGTACAGGCTGGGGGGAACTGTATGATGACAACCGTTCTACTTTGATATATGACCTCTGCGACAACTTTAATATGACAATTCTTAACAATGGAGAAGTAACACGTTTGGCTGGCCCATCCTCGAATGGAAGTAGATTAGACCTCACACTTTGCTCTAACTCATTATCGTTGGATTGCACGTGGAATGTGATCCAAGATCCCCACGGTAGTGATCACTTGCCGATCAAAGTTTCAGTTGCCAGTGGGTTCAATCCGTCGGAACCCGTTAACGTCGCGTACGATCTTACCCGTAATATCGATTGGACAACGTTCAAGACCGCGATAGAGGAAGCCGTGTCGTCGGTAGAAGGGCTTCCACCGTTGGAGGAATATAACTTCCTCTCCAATCTGATCTTGGACAGCGCGCTTCAAGCTCAAACTCGGCCGGTTCCAAGAACGTCTTTCCGTAGGAAACCTCCTTCCCCTTGGTGGGACCAGCAATGCACTGAGGTTTATCGTAAAAAGTCCGACGCGTTTAAGCTTTTCCGGAAACGTGGAACACCCGTACATTTCGAAGCGTACTCGGCTCTTGAACGCGAACTCAAGAGCCTCATCAAAGCCAAGAAACGCGGATACTGGCGGCAATTCGTGGACGGATTATCGCGCGAAACGTCGATGAATACGCTTTGGAATGCGGCGCGAAGGATGCGTAACCGGTCTTCAAACAACGAGAGCGAGGAGTACTCCGATAGTTGGATTCTCAAGTTCGCGCGAAAAGTATGTTCTGATTCTGTGCCGGCACAGATGATTCCTCGCGAAACGACGAATTCGGTAGACGAGATCAGCCAGCCTTTTTCAATGCTGGAGCTCTCACTCGCGCTCCTTTCGTGTGGCAATTCGGCTCCGGGGGCTGATAGAATCAAGTTCAACTTGTTGAAGAACCTCCCAGACGTCGCTAAGAGGCGCATGTTGAACTTGTTTGGTCAGTTCCTGGAGCTTAATATTGTTCCGGATGATTGGAGGCGGGTGAGAGTTATAGCCATTAAAAAGCCTGGAAAACCTGCGTCAGATCACAATTCGTATCGTCCCATTGCGATGTTATCGTGTATTCGAAAATTGTTGGAGAAAATGATCCTTTTTCGCCTGGACAAATGGGTTGAGTTGAACCACCTACTCTCAGATACTCAATTTGGTTTCCGTAGGGGCAAGGGAACGAACGACTGTCTCGCGTTGCTTTCCACTGAAATTCAGTTGGCTTTTGCTAATAAAGAGCAAATGGCTTCTGTCTTCTTGGATATTAAGGGGGCTTTTGATTCAGTATCGGTTGAAGTCCTTTCAGACAAACTCCACGCTTGTGGCCTTTCTCCATTAATTAATAACTTTTTGTACAATTTGCTGTCAGAGAAACATATGAGCTTTTCTCATGGAAACTCTACAGCTTCACGATTTAGCTACATGGGTCTCCCCCAGGGCTCATGTTTAAGCCCCCTTCTGTATAATTTCTACGTCAGAGAAATTGACAATTGTCTAAGGGACAACTGCACGTTGAGACAACTTGCAGATGACGGAGTAGTGTCTATGACAGGACCCAGAGAGGCCGACCTGCAAGGACCCTTACAGGATACCTTAGACAATTTGTCTACTTGGGCTATCCAGCTAGGTATCGAATTCTCCACGGAGAAAACTGAGTTGGTCGTTTTTTCTAGGAAGCATAGCCCAGCACAACCGAAGCTTCAACTTTTGGGTAAGCCGATCACTCATTCCATGTCTTTCAAATATCTTGGGGTCTGGTTCGATTCAAAATGCACCTGGAGATCCCACATTGAGTATCTGAAGCGGAAATGCCAACAAAGGATCAATTTTCTCCGAACAATTACCGGAACGTGGTGGGGAGCCCATCCGCAAGATCTTCTAACGTTGTACCGGACAACGATTTTATCGGTTTTAGAGTACGGTAGTTTTTGTTTCCAGTCGGCGGCTAAAACGCACATCATCAAACTGGAACGGATCCAGTATCGCTGTCTTCGTATCGCGTTAGGATGCATGCACTCGACTCATACGATGAGTCTCGAAGTGTTAGCGGGCATGTTGCCACTCTCTGATCGATTTTCGGAATTATCCCTCAGGCTCCTCACCCGTTGTGAAATTATGAACCCACTGGTGATTGCAAACTTTGAGAAGCTTCTTGAGCTAAACCCTCAAACTCGTTTTATGTCATTGTACTACGTGTACATAACACAGGATGTCAGCCCTTCGCAGCATAATCCCTATCGTGTTTGCTTCTCCGACTTCGACAGTTCTGTTCATTTTGATTTATCAATGACGCAAGAGATTCGCGGAATCCCAGAGCATCATCGTTCCATGATTGCTCCGTCAATTTTCGCTGCAAAGTTTGGCCAAGTTGATTCCTCAAGATCGTTCTTCACAGATGGATCACTAATAGAGGCGTCCGCTGGTTTTGGTATTTATAACGAATTTCATAGCGCCTCTCGAATGCTTCATGCTCCTTGTTCCGTATATGTTGCGGAGCTGGCGGCAATACATTATACGCTAGAAACGATCGCCTCACTTGCACCAGATCATTATTTTATTTTTACGGATAGTCTCAGTTCTATCGAGGCTATTCGCTCCATGAGGCCGGTAAAGCACTCCTCGTATTTTCTCATGAAAATACGAGAGATTCTAAGTGCTTTATCTTTAAGATCTTTTGTCATCACCTTTGCATGGGTCCCATCTCATTGCTCGATTCCGGGCAATGAGAAGGCGGACTCGCTTGCAAAGGTGGGCGCTATAGAAGGCGATATTTACGATCGACAAATCGCCTACGACGAATTTTTCTTCATTTATCGTCAACAGTCACTCGCCAGCTGGCAAAATAAATGGAGTGAAGGGAGTTTGGGACGATGGTTATATTCAATCATCCCTAAGGTGTCGAAGTGTCCTTGGTTCAAGGGGTTGGATGTGGGTCGAGACTTCATTCGTATGATGTCTCGCCTCATGTCCAATCACTACTCGTTAAACGCTCACTTGTTCCGTGTTGGGCTGGGAGACAGCAATCTCTGTGAATGTGGACAAGGTTACCAGGACGCAGATCACATTATTTGGTCATGTGCTGAGCACCGTGGAGTCAGATCCGAGTTGTACGATTCCCTTCGGGCTCGAGGTAGACAACCTAATGTTCCAGTTCGGGATATTTTGGCTAGACGAGATCTGGAGTTTATGCAACTCATATATGTTTTCTTGAAGAATATTAACCATAGATTGTAAGTTTGATTAACCTTGTGTTTAGTTTGTGTTTTGTATGTGTGTGTGTTTTTTTTTGTAGATTTGTTTCTGTAATAATTGTATAATTACAGAGTTGATATAACGTCGATAGGATTAAGTATATGTTTTAGAAATAGTGAAATTTTTGAATCATAAATCATATTCCAAATCTCCTTTTCCCTCTCCCGATCCAAACAATTGTCATCCACTAACCTCGAGAAGACCGCGATGAATCGGTTCCAATCCTTTAATTTTAGATTTAAGACATTTATAATGTATAAACAAAATGATAACTTGGCTCTGTAAAGTTTATTCGATTGAGCCTGTACAAATAAAGTAATTAACAAAAAAAAAAAAGATCTTTTGTCA